TGACACATAAATTTTTTTTAATCATATATCATTTTTAAAGAATCTTCTGGTTCTTTAATAAATGACAATGCATATTTTTCATGATATTTTGCATCATTATAATCTAGGATGATCTGACCGGTCATGCTAAACTATAAATGCATAAACTTCTAGTTTATTGTAAAATTATTCTCAATTATTAATAAACTTCTTATTACCATGTCATATTATTTATTTTTCACCTTAATATTTCATAAGGAATATGCTATTAATTATAGATTTTATCTTCAGAATAATAAATCATGATATAACTCTTCTAGAGCATTATTTTTCATCTTTTACCCAATGGTGAAAACTTGTGCACTCATGGAAGGTTGAGCGCTACTGATTCTTTTATAGCCTTTTTCAAAAGAAATATAAGATATAAAGAATGATATTAATATTAATAATAAGAAATTCCACTCAACATAATTGACACTTGTATTTCAATAATCTCTCCCTTAAGTGTGAGTCATATAAACATATTTTTCTTATTTTTATATTTCAAATAGAGTAAATAGCATATAGTAAGCTAATAACATATCTTTAATTTGAAAATCTAAATGCTTTCTAATTTAGATATAATAATGAATTTCAATCCAATTAAACTGTCACTTTAAGACCTTTTGATAAACAAATATTCTAGTATATATGTTTGTAGGCCATAATTTTCATTATCAATTCCTTTTCTGCCCACAAAAATAATGGGGGAATTATATTAGTTATTCAAGAACTATATCGATTTTGTTACCAATTCTTTAAGAACTATATCAATATTTTGTTATTAGTTTTTCTAGAACTATATCAATTTTTTTATTGCATATAGTTCTTCAAAAAATGCTTTATATAGTTTTTCAGGAACTAACATATATTATTATTTCACTATATAATATACTTCGCTTTTTATTATGCTTTTTCAAAATATGAAGTTTTTTTTTTTGAAGAAAACATATACATTTTCTAGATATTTCGTTATTCAAAAACTTTATTTCTTTGTATATATTATATAATACTTCAAAATTTATTCATAAATTTACAAATTCAATAGAAAGAGATCTATAAGGACTAAATCAAACTACATAGTTATGAAGATTTGAATCATAAGCTTTCAGAGCTATTTATAAGTCATTAGTTTTCAAGAGTCTGTACAGTAAATATATATATTTTTAAATATCATTTGTGTCACTTAATATTTGAATTATAAGCTTCGAGGCTTTAAAAACATCATCAGTTATCATTTTCATGTCATTTAGTAACATCATTGTGATGATTGTTGGCCATCTAGTAATAAGAAGTTATAATATGAATAAATATCAAATTGAATGTCAAGAAGATATGAGAATAAGATAAGGATAAAATTTAATATTTAAATTAATAAGAAGTAAATATAAATGTAACATGAAATAAAAAGAAAATGTAAACTATTGTATCAATACATCCTTCACTATATAATCAATAGATTCTTATAATAAAAAACATTGGAGCCATTAGTCTTATGGGTTATAATATTTATAATTCTAATTGTCATAATTTTTTCTTTTATAAACAAACCATATAATGATCCTTCTCATAATCAAAACTATATGGTTTCAGGCTATTTAATAAAGAAAATAAAGATATATGGCATCTAACTATTTAATTTCAAAAAAAAAAATAAAGATATATGGTTTCTAACTATAAGATAAAAATTTGATGTTATATAGGTTTTGGCTAATTAATAAAATAACAAAAAAATTAAATCTTTATGACTTCTAGTCATAAGATAGAACATCAAAGTTATATGGATACGAGCCATTTAAGAAGATATAGAAAAATTACATATAAATATATATATGGCTTCTGGCCATAAAATTGAAAATTTAACATGATATATATAAATAAAGATAAATTAAATATATACGGCTTCTGGATATAAAATAGAAAATATATGGCTTTTAACTTTTTAATGAGATAAAAAAATTCAAATATATATGGCTTCTGACCATAAGATAGAAAATCAAAGTTATATGACAACTAGTCATTTAATAAGATAAAGAAAAATTAAATATATATATGACTTCTGGTCATAAAATAGAAAATTCAAATTATATGGCTTCTAGCCATTTAATAAGATAACAATAATCAAATATATATGGCTTCTAACCATAAGATGAAAAATTTATACCTAAATACTTCTAGTTATTTAATAAGATAAAATATCAAATATATATGGCTTCAAACCATTTAAAAAAAATAGAGAATTAGCCATATATATATGGCTTCTAGCCATAAGATAAAAAAATCAAAGTTGTATAGCTTCTGACTATAATATAGAAAATCAAAATCATATGGCTTTTAGCCATTTAATTTGAAAAGAATGAAAAATCAGAGTTATATGTCTTCTGGTCATTTAATCACAATGAGATGAAAACTTAGAATTATATGGCTTCTGGCCATTTAACTTTAAATGGTAACTTTTTAAGGATACTGCTAGTATTTATTGGAACTTTTGGTTTCATCGAAATAGTGACGTTAGATCAATAAGAAATAGATGAAAAAAATCCTCTCATCATAATTAGTTCGGAAGGTATAATATCTATATCAAAATTAAATTGTAATACTAAAAAGTAAAGCAAAATCTCCAATCATAGTCATGGAACCCGATGTTTAAAACAATGGTAAATAATCTTTTTAATTCCATATAATAGCTTAGATTATCCTAGATAAATTGAATAGGAATACGGATACTCTGACACTCCATATATATGATGCTCGAGATATTTTTATTTGAACAGAGTAAAAGATACTCTAGAAAAATCATAGAGATGATGCTCTAAAATTATGCTGGGGTAGAAAGGTATATCATATGCCCCTTGATTAGAGTTTTGTGCTGATAACATGTTATAAATAAAGAAGAAATAGAGAGAAGAATCATACAGAGGAAGAGAGGATCAACAAGAGAGAGTATTTCTCATTCTATTCAAATGTACTCAATACATTATCCATGGCCTCTATTTATAGACACACCTTTACACCTTTGATATTACATAATAATATGAGATAATTGTGGGATATAAAGATAATGGGAGATATTAGAAATTATAGGAGATATAAGAGATAATAGGAGGTATATGGAGATCCACAAAGATATTATTATATTCATAACAATACAAAATTTTTCTGAACTTTGGGCCAGTTACATGTATTGACGTATTACAGTTTAAATTTAAATAATCTTCCTAACTTTTACCTCTTTTCTTTTTACTATTAATCTGTTGCTGTCAAGTCACCATCATATTTTTAATAAAAAGTTTCATCTCAGATTAATGTGAGTCACATATGTGAGTTAATAATTTTATAAAATCATCTATAGGAAGTTTTATATAATTTAGCCGATTAGTAAATACTTTTCTGGCCCATAATTTTAATCTGGTTTAACCACCTAATATGGAAAAAAAAATTTCGTATAAAGCTTTTCAACAAGGAAAAAAAAGGGACCGGATCGGCCGGTTCGATCGAGAAATCGGTGACCGGTCTCCAGTTCGGTCCAGATGAGCTGCTTGACCGGGGAGCCATCCAACTGGAAAAAACCGGTCCAACTGGTTATAACCGAATTGAACCGGGTATTTCCTGGTTGGCCTTTTTTTTTTTTTGCCTGTCAGCACCCCAAAACGCTGTTGTTTTATTTATTAAAAAAAATTTCTCTTCTTCGGTAGTTCGGTTCTCTTCCACTCACGAGTCGGCCATTTTCCCTCCCCTAAAGACTAAACTTGGCGGCAACTCACGCGACTCCCTCCCTCAAACCGAAATCAGTCCCTGCTCCCTAGCGTCGTCGACGGCACTACAGTCTCCGGCAGAGGTAGTTGTTCGGTAGATCTCCAAAATCGCAGTCGTAGCTAGTCTGATCTCCCTCAACGTCCTCGCAGTCTATGGCAGATCTGAAACTGAAAATCACAGCTCTCCACCTCGCAAAGTCGCTATCGCATCAGTAGTCTGGCGGTTTGAGCTCGCAAGTCTCCCTCAACATGACCACGTCCTACTTGGCCTTTAGCATTTACAGTTTGGCAGTTCGCAGAAGCTGAATCCAGAGTCACAGGTCGCCCTGAAATCCCACTCGGCCACTCAGCATTGTCCCTTCGGTGCATTAAGTTGTGGTTAAGCTCAAAACTTTTCCCTTTCAGCTAGATTGTGTTTTTAAGATGTATTTGTTTTGTTGCTTCTTTCTCTTCGGCTGTCGAAAGATTTGGGCAGGGAGGAGATGAAAATTGTATTATGATTTCTGATGAATACTTGAAGTAGGAGAGGAAAGTAGATGAATTTGCTGAAATAATACAGATTATTGGATTAAATTGATTCTGGACGATATACAAAGTATGAACAGCTTAAACTGATAAACTTAAATTGATTTTGTTTCCTTTGGAGATTGGATTAAATTGGTTCTGGATAGATAAAGTATGTTTCACATGTCTGAAGTCTTGATTGGTGATGTTCTGGTCAGGAAAAGAGTATTGATTAATAATTAATATGATATTTTTTGATTTGAAGATTTAGGACATATAATTATGTACAAATGCATACGTATGAGATAGATAAATTCATGTTTGTAACTTGAAGCATTGATTGGCATATCGATATATGGTAGATAAATTGATACTGGATTAAATTGATTTTGTATGGATTTTGTTTCCTTTCCAAGAGGTAGCAGTGATGGATATTTCAAATAATCAAAGTTCTGGAAATGATAATGTCACTCTTCATACTGAATCTTTGACTCCCAATACTGAAACTTCCACTCCTTCTGCACCCACTTCTTCATTGCGTGCAAAGACTGATCCTGCATGGGCACATGTTGCTTATAAAAAAGGACACAAAATGTATACACATGCCTTTTTTGTGGTAATAGTTATAGAGGTGGTGGGATAAATAGAATGAAGCAACACCTTGCTGGTATCACTGGTCAAATATCTTTTTGTAAAAAAGTTCCGCATGATGTACGTCATAGAATGACAGAATCTTTGAAAGAGTGTTCAAAGAAAAAAGCTATTGAAAATATAGAAGAAGAAATTGAAGAAACTCATGTTGATTCTCCAATTATCATGAGTAGTGCAAAAAAAAGAAAAGCTACGGGGAATATGGACAATTATTTTGCTCCTCGCACAACTCCTGATTCCCAGCCAAGTATTAAAAGTGCATTAGCAACAAAAAAAGCAAGACACAATGTGAAAATGTTGATTGCTGAATGGGCAATTGTGAACTGTATTCCATTTAAAGCATTTGATTTCCTATTATTTCAAAAAGCTGTAGATGGTATTGCTTCAATTGGCCCTCGGTTTAAAGCCCCTAGTGCTTATGATTTCAAAACCAATTTGCTAAGTGATTGGAGAAAAGAATGTCAGTTACTTATTGATAGCCATCGAGCTAAATGGAAAAACAACAGCTGTACACTCATGGTTGATGGATGGACTGATGTCAGGCAACGTACTTTGATAAATTTCTTAGTGTATTCTACTCACAGTATAGTATTTGTGAAGTCTGTTGATGCATCAGATCTAGTCAAAGATACTAAAACTTTGTTTACGTTATTCTGTGAACTTATTGAGTGGATTGGTCCTAAAAATATTGGTCATGTAGTAACTGACAATGCAACCAACTATGTAGCATGTGGCAGGTTGATTAAGGAAAAGTATAAAAGTATTTATTGGTCACCTTGTACTGCTTATTATTTGAATCTTATATTGAAAGACTTTTCCAGCATGCCTCATGTGTTAGACCTCACATCGAAGGCATCAAAGGTGACTATCTTTGCATATAATCATATGGTTTTTTTATCATGGCTGAGGAAAAAACCGAGTTGGAAAGAAATTGTGCATCCTGGTGTCACAAGATTTGCTACAACATTTATTACATTGCATAGCATATATATGCACAAAAATGACTTGCAGGCTTTAGTGGTTGATAAGCACTTTGTGGACCATAGATTATCGAAGACTGAAGCAGGAAAAAATTTCAGTGTAATCATTTTAGATAATCGGTTTTAGAATGATTGTTATCAAGTTGTGAAGATTGTATCTCCTCTCATCAAATTATTGAGAATTGTGGACTCAGATGAAAAACCTTCATTACCTTAGGTTCATAAAGGAATGCAAAGGGCAAAAATGGCAATTAAGGAGATGTTTAAGAAGAATAAGGAACTATATAAGCCTTACACAACAATCATTCAAACTCGATGGGATAGACATCTGAAGACCAATCTTCATGCAGCATCGTATTTGTTGAATCTTGTAATTACAAATGGTCCAGACTATCCTAGCAAGTCAAAATTGATGATGGCTTTGATTGATGTTGTGGAGTCTTACTCAGATGAGGATATTGATGGCTTCCTGGTAATGAAACAAGCGACTACTTATCGCGAAGGGAAGGAATCTTTTAGTAGACCCTCATGTCAAAAAGCTGCACAAAAACTAGACCCTTGTAAGTATTACATTCAATTATTCATGGTTATTCACTAATTTTATATAATATTGGATACTAAATGTATTTTATTATGCAGATGAATGGTGGACAAATTATGGTTGTTCAGTTCCAGAATTGCAGCGTGTTGCAATGCGTATTCTTAGTCAAACTTTTGCTTCTTCTAGTTGTGAGAGGAATTAGAGCTTATTTGAAAGAATTCATATGAAAAGAAGAAATAGATTGAAACATAAAAGGCTGAATGATTTGGTTTTCACCAATTATAATCTGCGACTGAAGCATAGGTAATGTTGAAAATTGTGAATACCTTTAGTTTTTTATTTTAATTGATTCATATTTATTTGAAATTTTATTTGTCATTAAAGGATTACATTGAAGAAGAGCAAAAGTTATGATCCAATTGACTATGAAAACATTAATATGGTGGATTTTTGGGTCGTTGAAGAAGATCCCACTCCGGAATTTGATTATAGAGATGTGGCTTCATTCGAAAGCGTCCTTAACAATGAGGGTATTGCTAATTCAACAACTCTTGAGAAGGCTAATGAAGGTTTATAACTTTATATATATAATTAAGACTTTATTTCTATACAAATATATAATTTTTTGTATGATTGTTAATATTGATCATTGTTTTACATAGGTGATGAAGATATGGATATTGCTAACCCTCCACCTTTACAAGATGATGTTGTTGCTCCTACTTTTCCTCATCCAGCTATTGACATCTTAGTCCATGTCAATGATCTTAGTGATGATTTTGATTTTCCATAGTGAAGATGTGCATTTCATTAATATTTGCTTGGTACGATTAAACATTAAACCAACTTTTGTAGCTTCTCATCTTTTTTTTAGTGATTATTATTTATAAATTTTGTTTCATTTTAATATTATGAATTAAATTATATTATTTTAATATGACCGGTCCGACCCCGGTTCGACCTCGATTCGACCAGTAACCCTTGACCCACTATCTTGACTGGTTTAATGTCCGGTCCGGTTTTTTGTTCCTTGCTTTTCAATACTAGTATATTAATTATAATGAATTAATTACGACTTTGGTCATTATTAATTGTCACTTGTAGGAATTTCTCATATATCAAAAAGAGCATTAAATAGATAAAATCTTACACTTTTGTCCTTATCAAGAATAACATTAAAAACTAGTGTATTTTCTCCCACCCATTTTCTTTTTCTTCACCTTTGCTATAATTAATAGGGATAGAATTGAAAATGAAGTATTAAAAAGGGTACAAGTAACAAATAAAAAAAACTAAAATCCCTTCCCACTAGTGATAAATAATAAGGATCAGGGTGATACTCACAGAGTTTAATTATATAGAAAGGCCAACTAGGTAAACAAATATCAAATGCTTTAGATATATATTATCAAACTTGGTTTAGATTTGGGACCAAATCGGTACAATATAAGTAATAAACAAGAGACGCTGGGGAACGATAAGTCGCAAATGGAAGTTATTGGAAAGCAATAGACAAGAACGATAAAGAGAAAACATACTGATGTTCCTTAGGAGTCCAGGGGTCCTTATTCAGACGCTGATCAGTTGCTTGAGAAAAATGGAAGTTTCCAAAATTAGGATTAGGGTTAAAGGTGAAGAAGGGCAAGCAAGATTTCTTGACCTTGAATCGAATTTTCCTGGAATAAATATGAGCTGTGAATTTGAGGATTCTTGAGGATTTATTATATGGGTTTTCTGGGGAAGATGGAGGAGACTTTGTAAGATCAATCACTTCTGCTTCCATTAATGATCAGAATGGTCCGTAGAAGAAAGAGGAGATGATTGCTTCAAGTTTAGGGTTAATACGGTTGTGCTCAGAGAGTAACATGGATTGGTATTTATAGAACTTTTTAATTTTTTAAGGATATTTGCATAAATACCCTCGGGTACGCGAAATGGCAGTAAACCCACGGAAGGAATGAAACTGATAAAATTGTGGCTGGGAGATGAGGAAGAAATTATTGCATGGGAAAGTGAAGTTAGAGTCAAGTAGACACGTTAAAGAAGAAACAGATAAAGCTATACGCACCATGCATATTGGATATTGTCAAAAAAAAAATTCATCTAAGAGTTTGTTATTAGTCCTTATGGTTTGATCAAATTTTAATTTTAATATCCTTATAGTTTCAAATCGTGTTTTTTGTCCTTATAATTTTAAAAAGACTTAGTCTAAATTTAATGGCATTAGCTTTTAATGGGTTTAACCGGCTTAGGTAATATGGACCAAAACAACCAAAACATGTTATTAAAAGTAGAGGAGTCCAGACTAGTTTTGGTTTTAGTCCATATATTTTTAACAAGTTTTGGTAGTTTTGGTTCCTATACTTAATAATGTTAACTATGATTAGGTCCTTATGAAATTATAAGAACTAAAAATCACAATTAGAAACTATAAGCATAAAAATCAAAATTCAATTAAGTAGAAAGAACTAATAATAATATTAAACTTCATTACCAACATGCTGTTAGTTAAGTTGATAAGTAAACTCACCCTTGTAAGGAAAAGAACACATATTCAAATCTTAGGAAGCACACTTATTTAGGAGAAGCAAATTCTTTATGCTATAAGCCTCAAATAAGAAACCTCAATCAAATAAAAAGAATAGTAACCCTTCATTTAATTTAGTTTGTAGAATTTTCGGTTCAACCTCGTGAAAAAAAAATCCCTCAACTGTCCCTTTTCATCCGACGCCTAGTGACTATCACCATGTTATGATATGCACTAAACTAATGATATTATATTTGTTCCTTGATGTAAAACTTAATTAATTAATTTGAAAAGATTAAAAAAAGTTATCAAATTATTTAATTATAATACATATTACAGGATATCTGTAAGACACTTATGTATGTCATTAGATTCTACGTCAATTGTCAATTTATAAGTGAGTCAAATTAGTTTGAAAAAAATGATAAATATAAATGCTTTAAAGTAATTTAGAGACTTCCTTAATCTCCTTAACTAAGCAACTAGTCTTATATTAAAAATTAAAGGTAGTATGATAGATTGATATATCATTAGAATATAGATTGATAAGTATGTTGTTACCAAAAAAATTAAATAAATTGGAAAACATAATGTTTTAAATTTATAGGGTTTTGTTTGAAGGATAACAAATTTTAAAGAATTAAGGTTGTCTTGAAAGCTTTCATGCAAGAGATTTGGATATTTGAAATTTTTTTGGAAGCAAATTTGCCCCAAAAATTTAAAATCATGACAATAGTACCCCCAACCGTTAAAAAGCTAATATTGACCGTTAAAATAGTGACATTGACTATTAATATTTTTAACAGTAGAGGACAATATTACTACGATTTTAAACTTTCAAGGCAAATTTGCTTCTAAAAAAAATTCAGGATACCCAATATTCCTAAGTAAAAATTTTCAGGACAAATTTACAACATAACCCAATTTTAAAATAATAAACCTTACTTTTAAATTCAAATTGGATTAATATAATTTTTAATTCTTTAAATTTACCCTCATTTTGGCTTCATATCTATATTTATTGGACTATTTTTTTTTATAGGCAACATCAAAAATATTTATGTTTAGCTACAAGTTGTGCATGCAGCTTTTGAATATCCCAAATTCAAGTAGACTATTTCGTAAACGGCTTTTAACCCCGTTTCTCCATACTTTTATAGTCTCCCAACTCTTTATCTTAGTGTGATCATGACTCTTTGGAATAGGTTTTTGGGAGTTTTTGTTCAAATCAATCAATTGTTAGTATGAGTTATTTAGACTTTTGTCTTATCCTTTCTTGTAACTTTGAAACGTATGTAGCTCAACCATTTCTATTAAAAAAATCATTATTCTTTATCAAAATATTCAAAGAAATTGTTAATTACTTTGTATCTAATTATCCCCATATTTCATAACACAAGGTGCTTCACCCTGAGTAATAAATACGCCCTCTACTCTTAACATAGAAGTTAGTAACTAATTTATGGATATCAAAAACATAATAAAATTAATTATTTGTAATAAATATCTACTGATTTCTTTGAAATACTCTTTTGATTATCATTTGATTAATAGAATATGCTATTAACAAGGAAAATCAACTATCAACTATCAACTATCAACTATCAACTATCAACTATCAACTATATACTAGAAATCTTGTAATACCCAGATATTCAATCGGGTCGGGTCGGGTCGGATCTCGCAATCAATGTGTTTTGCTTGGTGTATTATTAATAAAATCATATTACAATTCAAAATTTATTATTCTGAAAAAACGTGTTATTTAAATGCATTAATGAAAAATTATTAATTAGAGAATTAACCAATCAAATTCAAAACAATGAAATGATTGTGTTTTAAATGGATTTCCAAATTTATCGATTGGGATATTAATACAATAATATCTTTTATGGCATATATTAAAAAACATTTTTAAAATTTAACACCCAATAAATATGTAGAAACACCACTTCTTTTGTTTTATATTGATATTGATGATATGGTGCACGTTGATAGCTTCTTATTTTACATTTTTCATTTTAATATCCTTTCCATAAAATCAATTAGAGTTGAATTCAATTATTTTTTTATACTCAACAAAAGAATCTTGTGATATTATTTACTTTCTATTTGGATATATGGATTTATGTTGATTTGATCATGGTCCCTAAATATTTAAATGTCAGCGTACACTTTTATTAATTAATACAGTTTTGTTGAGATTTTCTTCCATTTACATTACACTAAGCAACATATTCTGGATTCTTCGCTCACTGAATTAGGGCATCTAAAAACGTAAAATTTATTACATATAGAATTAAAAGATGATTTCAATTCACTATCTATTGTGGTATCCAAAAATATTCAGTTATATGGGATTTGTACATATTAAATTATTAAATTAAATTAAATTAAACTAAATGCGGTGCATTATAATTAAATGAGAATTTAATTGGAGGTTCAAACAGAGGAATTTTTTAATTAAAATTCGCATCTCCATTTGAAATTATATAGGTTAATTGAATGACAGAGAAAATCAAGAATTTGCATCCCCATTTCAAATGGTATAGGTTAATTAAATGACGGAAAAAATCAAGGAAACCTTGCAAATTGTCTTATGATTTTCACATGATCTTCTGCACAATTTCCATTAACATTCCTAAAATTAACAGTACTAAAATAATTAATGAATACAGGGTTAAAGATCATTCATTTTGGATTCCATGTAAAATTGATTCCATACATAATCAAAAGATGATTTCAATATCCATTATGGGATCCAAAAATATTCAGTCATATGGGATTTGAACATATTAAATTAAATGCGTTGCATCATAACTAAATGAAAATTCAATTAGAGATTCAAATAGAAAAATTTATTAATTAAAATTTGCATCTCCATTTCAAACTGTCTAGGTTAATTGAAAGATAGAGAAAATCAAGGAAACCTTACAAATTGTCTTAGGATTTTCATCCAGTCTTCCCAACAATTTTATTAATTAATATGGTTTTGTTAATATTTCCTTCCATTAATATTACTAAAATTATCATTACTAGAATTTTTTTTTTTAGCTGAAACCGTTACTAGAATAATTAAGCAATATAAGGTTAAAGTGCATTCATTTTGGGATTAAATGGGCATGTTATTATGATGGTATAGAAGAAATCATAACATTAAATAATATTTTTTTCACTATTGCAGAAATTTATACAATTGAGTTTCAGAAGAGGGATCTACCACATGCTCACATTATTCTATTTTTGGATCCTTCAGACAAACCAACCACTCCTGATGATGTGGATAGAATTATTTGTGTAGAAATACCAGACAAAGAGAGAGATCCAATGCTATATGATCTTGTCAGTAACTACATGATTCATGGACCGTGTGGCCCTTCCAATAAGAAATCTCCTTGCATGAAAGATGAAAAATGTTCCAAGTACTTTCCCAAGAAATTTGTCAATCATACCACAGTAGATGAAAAGGGTTACCCTACATATAGGAGAAGGAATGATGGTAAGAGCATCGATAAGAAGGGTGTACCACTAGATAATAGATATGTCGTTTCTTATAATGCGACTTTGTTAAGACTGTTCCATGCTCACCTTAATGTTGAGAAAACAAACCAATCAAGTGCCATAAAATATTTGTTCAAGTATGTCAGCAAAGGAAGTGATCGAGTCATTGCTAGCATCTACAACAATGATCAGTCAAATAATGGAGACAATGGTTTTGATGAGATCTCTCATTACTTGAATTGCAGATATGTTTCTTCTTGTGAAGGTGCATGGCGTATTTTTTCATTTGATATCCATCATAGATACCCTTCTGTTGAGCGGTTGAGTTTTCATTTACCAGATCAGCAAGCAATTTTATACAAGTAAAGATTCGGTTACCTCATTGGTTCACAAACCGAGAGTTAAAGAATCAATATTTCTTGCATGGATGGAGCAGAATCTAGAAGATACATTTGCAAGGAAATTAACATATACTGAGTTTCCCCATTATTATACATTTAATAAGCAAAAGAGCATTTAGAAGCTTAGAGAAAGGGGCTTTGTTGTTGGACGATTGGCACATGCATCACCTGCTCAAGGCGAAATATATTATCTTAGAATACTATTAACAAAAGTGAAGGGACCTAGCAGTTATGAACAGATAAAAACTGTAGATAATGTTGTTTACCCAACTTTTAGGTCTGCTTGCTATGCCCTCAGATTGATTGACGATGATCAGGAATTCATTGATGCAATAAAAGAGGCATCATTGTGGGCTACGGGATGTTATCTTAGAAGATTCTTTGTGTCAATGCTGCTAAGTCATTGTATATCACAACCACACATCGTGTGGGAGCAGACTAAAAATCTCTTATGTGAAGACATGTTGTTGTCCACAAAATAATCCACAATGTCAAGGTAAATTCAACTATGCACTTACTTTTTATGCAATTGACATGAATATAGTATTTGCTTTGTCTTTTTATGATTTATAACATTATTGCTGTTCCAATAAAATAGATTTAAATATTAGTGATGATGACAAGCATGAAGCAGGCTTAATTGAGATAGAAAAGCTACTGCAAATGAATGAAAAATCTCTTCATGATTACCCATTAATGCCACTTGCAACAGCTACTAAGTATTTTGATACCAGAAATCATTTTATATTGCAAGAATTAAATTTTGACAGAGAAACATGTCAGAGAGAAGCGATTAGGTTGCTAGAATCACTAACAGATGAGCAGAAGAATATATTCAACCAAGTAATGAAAGCAACAAACCATCCTACTGATGGGTTCTTCTTTGTGTATGGTTTTGGAGGTACTGGAAAAACTTTCTTATGGAATGCACTAACAGCATCGATTAGAGCACGAGGAGGAGTAGTGATTAATGTGGCTTCAAGTGGAATAGCTGCAACTTTACTACCTTCAGGCAGAACTGCACATTCAAGATTTGCAATTCCAATTGATATTAATGAAGATTCCATGCGCAACATATCCCAAAGTTCACCACTAAGTGAGCTTATCAGGTGTGCCAAATTGATTATTTGGGATGAAGCCCCAATGGTGAAACGTTTTTGTGCAGAAGCTGTTGATAGGACATTCAGAGATATAATGAAGTGTAATCATCCCTTTGGAGGCAAATGTATTGTCATGGGAGGAGATTTCAGACAAATATTGCCTGTCATCCCAAAAGGTAGTCGTGTAGATGTTGTCAACTCAACCATAAACTCTTCTTATCTATGGAGTCATTGCAAGTTATTCCAACTTACTTCTTGCGATTATCTTCGAGTTCATCCACAGATAATTCAAAATTGAAATTATTTTCTGACTGGCTTTTGGATATTGGTGATGGTCGCATCGGTTTACCTCATGATGGAATGGCAGAGATAGAAGTCCCTGATGATTTTTTAATTATGGACTATCATGATCCTCTGCAGTCGATTGTCGAAGCCACATATCCTGATCTTTTACATCATTTAGCTGATTCTGAATATCTCACTAATAGGGATATTTTGACACCAACAGTTGAAGTGGTTGACCAAATTAATGACTATATGTGCTCCTTACTGCCTGGCGAGCCTATTGTATATTTTAGCTCTCATTCTGTGAGTATAGCTGATCAAGGTTGTGCATCATTTCAAGAGTTGTATACCATCGAATTCTTGAACACAATAAAATGCTCTGGCTTGCCTCCACATAGACTTGCAGTGAAAGTTGGAGTTCCCATAATGCTGGTGAGAAACATAGATCAAGCTGCAGGACTCTGTAATGGCACAAGACTAAAGAACACATTTCTTGGTAAACACTTTATTAAAGCAATAGCTCTTAATGGTACAAGTACAAGTCAAGAAGTTTTGATCCATCGAATGGATATGAATTCTTCAGAATCTAGACTACCATTCATGATGACAAGAAGGCAGTTTCCTATCATATTATCATTTGCCATGACGATCAACAAAAGTCAGGGACAATCAATGACTAATGTTGGCTTATACCTACGTAGACCTGTCTTCACACATGGTCAATTATATGTTGCGCTGTCAAGGGTTAAGTCTATGGATGGCATCAAGATTTTAATTCTTGATTCAGACAAAAACCCAACAACAAGACCACTAATGTGGTCTACAGAGAAATATTTCAAAACATCATGTGAAGCTTATTGGTGATTAAATGTTTCTTTACATCTTCAAATGTATTACTTTATAAGGTTAAAAAAGATTTTTGTTGTTCTTTTTTGTTAATTTTGTTGGTACTTTCAGATTACTCTTATATATATATATATATCCTTTTTTATGTTTTAAAAAATTATTTTCATTAATTTTATGTCAAAATATCTATGCTCAAATTTTGTGTACATTGTTATGACAAAATTATTCATAATTCACAACCCGTGCAACGCACGGGAGAGTTTTCTAGTTTACCATAAAATTATGAATTTGTCAAACAAAATAAATTAAATTTTATATTTAAGAATAAAATAAATATCTCAACTAGCTCCTATACTTTAGTGGGAGAAATATAATATAATTCCATTAAAGTTTGGAGATGTGAAAGCTTTTTTTTTTTTTTTTAGGTCGAAGGAGATGTTAGAGTTTCCTAAACTAAAATACACACACATAATAACGTATCCCACTTCACACATACCTTAAAGATTAATCATCATTAATTTTGTTGTGGTCCAATAATTCAAAGGCCCATATTCATGTCTGCCCAACTCAAGCATATAGATAATCCTGGCCTATCAGAAATTAGTTTCAAATATAAAATGACTTAAGAATATTCTAAATATCATAAAAAAGCAAAAAAGAAACTATGTGTTAGCAACTTGGAAAACAAGAAAAAATATTTTATCTTATTTTTTCCTTGTGTTTTTGCGTATTTTTCAGTCAAATTCTACAAATATATGAATTTTGCAAAAATGGGGCTTATTGTTATATATTTGTGTCCCTCTCCTGTTATTTTAAATAAGGTTGTTTTAGGAACTTCAAATGACATTCTTATCTAAATACTCAATCGTTTTATTTTCAATTCATCTTTTTTACTAGAGTTTTATTTTCAATTCATCAGAAATTATTAGTAATCAGAGGAAAATACAGTCAAACCTTGTGTCAGTATTTTTTTAAATCATGCACCACAATATCCATTGTATAATTTGTATTCACTTTCAAATTTGACCATTTTACTAGCCACGTTTTTAATTCACTGAAATTTATATACTACTATCTTTAGTTCTAATTATAAAATTTTATTTGTAATCTACTAACAAGGTCTTATAAATAGAACCGTAGGCAGTACATTCTAGTTAAGTGCCTCTTTTCAACAAAACTGATCCCGAAATTGAATTTTGTTACCCTTCAACTACAATTCAACTATTTCACTTTCTAAATCTTTATTATAATTATAATTATAATTATTTCACATAGATTAGCATAAGTAATAGCGAAAATAAATTTGATCATATACCTTATTCTCCTTTGGTATAAAATCATATAATGTACTCCCTCTAATCTTAAATATAAGAGCTAGTTAAAAGGCTTCGCTTAAACCTAAACATAGTTTATAATGTTTTTAATAAAATATCATATTGATTTTATATATTAAAAATGGTTTCCATTAATAGGAATAGTTTCCAATATAAATACTTAAACAAGTTATTTTATGAAAATTTACATACATTTAATACAAATAATTTAGTTAATTTTTTAATTTATCTAAACTAATTATTTAATTCTTTCTTTTATCTTTTTTCTTAAACAAAAATTCTTTCTTTTATCAGCGCAAAGAATATTGTATTGTATTATGTTTTGTCTCAAAACTAGTACGGTATCTGTGCAATGCACAGGCATGAATTGGTAGTTTTTTTTTATATAAGATAAAAAGTTAAATCACTACAAAATAATTACTTGAATATTATATTTCTATTTCAAGTCATAATTTCAACTTAATTTAAGAATAAAATATTCATAAGCTTTTGAAAAATGTAATATATGTAAATCTATTATCAACATTTTAAAAAGATTCATTTAATAGAGACAAAATCATTAGTGAGCTAAAATATTTTGAAAACCACACAAAGATGTACTCTCATAAGTTGAAAATGCTTGTCATGGACAATAACTTCAAGCTTAGTCACCCCATCCAAAAAGAGTTTGCTTATATAACATGCAAGTAAGCAATTCCGATTATAAAAAAAATAAAAAAAGAGATTCTAAATCAAGAACTACAATATAAACTTAAAATAATATAAAACTTTCAAAATAATATCAAAATATCGATATTCAAGAAATATTTTATGAAGATAAAAGAAATATAGGAAAGAACTACAATAATAGCCTAGGGTTGCAAGTGAAAGTTTGAAATGTATGCTAAATACGCTTTAGTAACATTATATTCAATTATGCAAGACAAAACTTCAAAAATCATACAATCTCTTAAAAGGAATATTATAATACAATTTTGTATTATAAATACAAAAAATCAATATCTCAAGCTAATCAATTATGTGGTACTCACACATTAAAATGTTGGAACATCCAAACAATTGGATGACACAAAATGACACTGAAATTTCATTTTTTTTTAAAAAAGGGCAAAGTATATATGATGAAAATAGAGTAGGGACCAACATTACTCCACAATACATGTGGATGCTTGAGTGTCTTCGACTACCTCATCACAACTATGACCTTCCTAGTATTCTTGTCTTTTAAAAACTTCATAATACCCGTGCCTCTCTCCTTCTATCAATTCCTATCAATTTCTCTCCACTATCATGGTCATCACCTGGAAAGAAGTAGAGTGCAACTTCTAAGAAATAGATAATAGATTCTAAATTCATAAATCAATTATTACAATGGAGAGAAAATATAAAACAACACTTGAGATAAAAAGAACAACAACAATGAGAGGAGGGAGGAGAGTGGGTCGAAACAAAAGAAAATATGGAAAAAAAATCTGAAACTTATAAGCTAGATGACCATGTCATCTCCTTTTCACCATCCATATATTTGAAGACAGTGTTCTATATCTTGATCCGTAACTCCCTCCTATCCTCTTCATTTGGCGTTGAAAAGTTAGGATGTGGATCCATAAATACCCAAGATAGAGATGATGATGATTAGCCAATGAAGCAAAGCAACCATTAGAAACTAACTCTACAACATGCATAGCATCCCATGCTCCTTTTTCTAAATAGGCATGTCCACCTTACCTAGGGATTAACCCATTCAATCACAATGATAGTAAAATATTAGGAAAAGAATGAAAAGTATTTAATTAATTAACTCAAAAGCGAGCAAGGCTGAGCTGTCTTAATTGAAAAAAGAGACAGCAAAGCCTTTATTGTCATCTCCCTAACCACATGTAAAGATGGAGTCTTGTGGCCACCGCCATAGATAATAATAAAATAAGACTTCCAATGTAATCTTGTGGTAGTAGTCTGTAGTAGATAGCCCCTTCATCTTCATCGTCCATGAGAAAGAGGAAAAGGAGGAGCATGCACAGCAACATTCATGGGTATTTAGATAACTATGGTAATTGAATAATTGTCATATCCCTCCATAACCATCCCCCACCATACACAAACATGAGATGCACACTGGTTACTCCCTCCTGAAATCTGCATACCTTATGGAGTTAAGATTGAATTAGGTATTTAATATAAAACATAAAATATATTGATTATCGTAATGATAATTAGGAAATTCACTATTTGAGATAATTAATAATAGACAAATCTCATATAAAATATAAAATAGGTTCACTATTCAATATATTAATAAATTGAGTAGTTCCTATTGTTAAAGTTACATAATAGTAATAAACAAAATATCTCAACTAATATTTTTAAGTTTGTATTTCTTTTTTTATATTAGGCTAATCCGTAAAAGACATCCATTGTTTTTCTAAAAATTAATATTTTATTTTATTTTAAAATAAATTTTAATTCTAAATATCATAAGTAAAATAATTTTCCATTTGAATTAGATTTCAGAATAATTTATAAATAAAAATAATAAATATTTCAGGTATAAATAATAGTTTAGATTTAAGGCATAGGATACCATTTTCAACACATTAATAGACTAAAAGAAATTAAATTTCAAGCATAATTAATTTTAAATAATACTACCAAATTAATACAAATTTCAAAATTTGAATATATATCATTCCCCGCGTATATGCCATATTTTTAGGATAAGAGAAGTTATATAATTTTATTTATTTTTTTTAATTTAAAATATTTGCAGATAAAAGGTATTTTGGTTTTTTAAAAAAAATGGAAAAAAATAAGGCTCATTAGTGGGGATAACTGCAATAAATTCTGTAATAAGTCAGAATTAATTGAATTAATAAAAAAATTATAAAAAATAGATTTATCTCTCATTAACAAAAATCATTATTTTGCAAAAATAAAAATAAAAAACATTTTATTTTTAAGATTGCATGGGTTGGTTAACAAACTCAGTAAATAGACATGAAACTTGCACTCAAATAAATAGGGGTGGATTAGAGAAGTTATATGGTTTTCATATGTTTTTAATTTAAAATTTAAAATATCTATTCAAAATATATTTATTTTAAATCTAAAATGTATAATAAGTAATAAATACAAACAATTCAATCAAAATAATTCAAATACAAAAAACGCAACAACTGGCTAGAAAGCAAAAAATTGAAGGCTAAAAAATCAATAAAATTAATATTTACATAGAGTTTTTATTGTTAAGTTGTTAAATTTATATTTATGTTGTTTGAAAATATGAATTGATCGAAACTCATGGCATATATATCGAACATGAACCAATTTAAAATTTCGTTGAACTAAATCTCAAGAACAAACGCATAAATAAGAAATCATAGGTAGAAACATGACTTTAACAAAAAATAAAAAGTAAAAAACATTTATTTGCAAAATAATGCTACCATGTGTCGGCTTACTATTGAGTCTTATTTTTACTCCACTTTTATATATTAATAAATGGATTGCTGGCTACCAAATTATTGTTCTGGAAATATACTTTGGAATAATAGCAAACCCGATTGATTTTTTTTTTTGGAAGAAAAACGCTCTTCAAATATTCAGCAACGAGGATAACCCTCTTATTTTCAGGTGTCAAGTACAATATCCGAATGAAAAACAGAAATTTTGAAAAAACTACGTTAT